TATTATTTTCTTTCCCTTGATCTTTTGCAAAGGAGCCATTCAGCCCCACTATTTATTTCCCACCCTCATCTCATCTAGGACAAGTGTTTTTCAACCTCCCCTCATGGCGGACCCTTATCATACAGTTCCTTCATGTTGTGGTGACCCCCAACCATAAAATAATTTCGTTGGTACTTCATAACTGTAATGTTGCTACTGTTATGAATCGTAATGTAAATATCTGATATGCAGGATGTATTTTCATTGTTACAAATTGAACATAATTAAAGCATAGTGATTAATCACAAAAACAATATGTAATTATATATGTGTTTTCCGATGGTCTTAGGCGACCCCTATGAAAGGGTCGTTTGACCCCAAAGGGGTCGCGACTCACAGGTTGAGAACCACTGCTCTAGGCTGTTCTCCGTACAGTAGCCAGAGCGAGTGACAAAACATAAATTAGATCATTTGACTTCTGTGCAGACCCTCAAATGACTCAATATTCAAATAGAATTCAGTAGAGCTTCCTGTCCACCATACCTTGTGTTTTCTTCATAGCACTTATTCCCCCTGCTTATGCTATGAACTTGCTTGCTCCCTTGTTGGTTAACTGCCTCCCTTCATTAGAATGGACCCTCCATAAAGGCAGTGATTTTGTGTATTTTGTTTACTGCTATATCCTGTAATAGTGCGTGGCATGTATCCATAGGCATTTAGTAAAGGTTTGTCAAATAAATAAATTGAAAATACATTATTTGATTGAAATGCAAACACTTTGATGCTCAGTAGCTGTAGTTCATGTCTATGGAGTTTCATTACCTTTTATTTATATGTCTTTCACCTTATAATTTAATCCTCACAACTGCAGATCAGCGTCACAAGTGAAGAAACTGAGAGGCTCAGGGAGGGCAAATGAATGATCCGAAGTCACTGACAGACGGGTGCTTTTTCCATCATACGACAGAGACCCCGATGTTATCTTAAGCCCATCCTTTTATTTTTTTTAATCCTCACCGAGGATATGCTTATTGATTTTAGAGGAGAAGAGAGACAGACAGATACATTGATGAGAGAGAGAACATCAATCAGTTGCCTTCCATATGTGCCCTGAGCGGAAATCAAACTTGTAACCTTTTGGTGTATGGGACAACGTTCCAACCAATGTTCCACCCACCCGACCAGGGCTTAAGTGCACCCTTTTAAATGTTATTTATCCCCTGTAGGACAGGGTGTTCCCACATTTTAAGTGTGCCACAATTAAAATAATGTGGCAAAAAATACTGAATACATATCTTCATCCAGTTTAGTTATTGTAAAGCTCTTGCTCCTGAGAAACTTGAGCATTCATAGTATATTCAGCATTCCATCTATTTTAAAACAATGTTTAATAGAAGTGGTTATGCCAGAATTTATCAGAAATCTTTTTACATATGTTTTTACTAGTTATTTAAATTCATATTTTTGCAGTATTTTTAAAAGACATCATTGTCAAAATGGGTATTAAAATGAAAACAAAGATTTCACTAAGATTCTACGTTTCTTGTTAGAGCCTTGTTATTTAGTTCTGAGGTTCTTCATAGTTATGGTGTCATTTCTGTAGTCTGAATTTTGTTTAATAAAACGCATGCTACTTATTTTTTATATATTTTCACTGCTAGAACATCAGTTTGCAGTATTTACCTTTTCCTGAAATTAGAAGGTAGCTGTTAATACCTGTTTCCCTCCCTTTCCAGCAAGTTTCCTCCCAGCCTGTATGCTGCTGGGATTTCTCAAGCCCAGCAGGAGGAGATAGAGGGCACTTTCCTAATTACCCTGGATCCACTCATCACTCAGCTTCTCACCTTCCAGCCTTTCATGAACGTGGTTTTGGACAGTAAATTAGGTAAAGCTTCAAAACAGAATTAATGTTAAAACGGCTCTTACTAATTACTAGAGGCCCGGCGCATGAAATTGTGTGCGGGTATGGTCCCTAGACAGCCTGCGATCAGGGCCATCTTCCCCAGCTGCTGGCAGCCGGCCCCGCCCCCTGCCGCCAACCACCTTGGTTCCCCATCCGGTGATGGGAGCCTGATGGCCGGGGGAGGGACCGAGAAGTCAACTGTTCCTGCCTGATCACTGCAGGTTGCCCTCTGTGTGTGGGGCCACTGGCGGCGCGGGAGCCTTGGCCTGGCACCGCCCGCATCCCCCACCACCCACCCTGGGTCCCCGATCACCATTGGCGATCGGAGCCTTCTGGCCGGGGAAAAGGACCGAGAGGTGGTCAGTGCACCTCATAATGACTGGTTGAGTGGTCATTCTAGTTCTGCCAATATGGTTGCTGGGCTTTTATTAAATAGATGACATGTTAGAGACAGCCTTCCCTTCCCTTATGTAATCATCTTTTTAAGTTTCAAACTTTATTTAAAATTTCTCTTTTTTCTTCTTGGAACATATTTCTCATTTAAAGAAATTATGCCTCTAATTTCTTTACATATCACATCAGGTTTCTGCTGAAAAGATGTAGAATGAATATGTTTTTACCAATTTGTTGTAACACGATGAATGCGTTTTTATTGCTATAAGAGCTGCCATGCGAACTACAGTTCCCGCAGTGTCTCCTGCTGGTTGTCATCATGGATAAGCTGCCCTCTCAGCCCCTGGACGTGCAGACCCTGTGGTGCACCGAGAGCCGGGTCTCAGGAGCTGCGTCCAGGTAGCAGATGTGCTGTTTCGACCCTGTCATGTTACGAGGGTTTAGCATGCCCTCTCGCGTGGAAAGATCTTGAAATTACGTTTTTTGTTGTGTCAGATATTCTAGTTAATAATTACTGTAGACCTCATTCATATGTTGCTACTTTATAAAAATACACATATAAAATATATGAATCTATAGATACTAAAGTTATTTTAATTTTGTTCAGTGTTTTAGAAGGTATTGCCTAGTAGTGTTATGAACATTGAGTGTAATGGGTGCGATGTAATTAGTAACATGCCAATGAGCTCTGATGAAGAGACTCCTGGACACTGTACATTACCTCTTGGGAATTTTCACTTGTATCCATCCTCCGCCCTTGGATTATTGCTGTTCTTGGATTTTTCACCCGCTTTTAGTCCATTCTTTGTACTGCTGCCTCGTCAGTCTCCCTAAACCCCAGCTCTGAGCTCCCTGTTTTCAAACCCAAAATTCCATGCTCAAAACTAAAGCTGATGTGTCAGACTTCTCAGCTTTGGGTTGAAAGGTCATCCCATTCTGTTGCCAATTTCTACTTTTGCTCTTCATCCTTTTGCTTGTTTTCTGTCAGACCTGTTTGTCATTCATGTTTACCTTGTACTCATGCTTTTGTTGTCTTTACCTATTTATATCTTTTTGTATTTTTAATTTGTTATTTAAGTCCTCTACAAAGATTTCCTAAACCATTTCAATCATAAAATGCCCTCTCCCTGTCTGAACAGTAATATTCTAGTTTATATATGCTATCTAGCTATTTAAAAATAAAGTTTCTTCATGAATTTTGGCTTTGAATAGTTTAGTTATGTGATAAACACTTAAGTCAGTGATACAAAATGTCCAGGCAAATTCTTATCCTTTAAGGACTTTCTCTAATAGTGACTGTATTTTGTTTTTATTATACGTGTTCACACATTGGAAATGTATACCTGAGACATTTTGCTTTGCTAAAACAACCCATGATATGTTATATTATTATACCTACTAATTATTAAATGTTAATAATGTTGGGTTCCATATTCTCAATTTCCCTGCAGGGTATCTCTACTCAAAGCCATTTTCTGCAGTTTTGAGCAGTGTTCTGGTGAACTCTCTCTACCTGTCCATTTACAGGGAGTGAAGGGTAAAGGGCACGTGGAGGTTGCTGTCCCCTTGTATCAGCATGTCTGTGTTCATCTGTGTGCATTCATTACTGCCTTTCATCCCTCGCTGTTTCCAGAACTGGTAAGTTTGTTACTTGTTGGCTAAGCCAAGGTTGCTCTTTTGCATTTTTTGTTTCACTGAAACTGTGATTTATATACAGAAAAAAGTGGGAATAATTAATGTATGTTCTTATTGACTGTTGTTTTCTCAGCTTACACATTTTATTCTTTAACTCAGTTGTGTCCTAGAAAATGTAATCCTAGAGCCCAACAGTATTCAGATGTAGTATCCTAAAACATTTGAGGAAACATTTTTGGGTGGGAAGGTATAGAAAGACTGCAAGGTGGATTTTATCTGCCTCAGTTTCATAAAGAAAAGAAGTATAAAGAGTTGTATGCAGCACTAAGTCTTCTGTAGATCTTTGGTATGATAAAGATTTTTTTTAAGTGGAATTAGATTAGAAAAGATGTTGAAATTCTTGGGAAAATTTTTTAGAAATTAAGTATCCGTATCATTTAAGATATTATACAGTGGGTAGTTCAGCCATATTTAATACTGTATATGGATGGTTAAAGGCAGAAACAAAAGTATAGGCTTATATGTTACTATGTTGTTTTAATGATTTCAGCTACTCAGAGAATTCTGGTGGATCCCAGAGATTGAGTTACCACAATTAAAACCAGTTTTGAATCCCTATAGCCCAGCACAATGTTCGATATGATAGGTGCTGAAGACGGGCAGACAGCATGGGCTCCTTCAGATTCTAGGAAATAGAGCCTCTCCCTTGAGATCTGTTGCTGTGTGTGTTGTGAGGGTTTTGTTTCATTTGAGAAGTGTAACATGAGTGGTGACTTACCCTGGACTGTGTTTCTCCGCAGGATGCCGCTCTGCTGAGTGCAGTGCTCAGTGCTAACATGATCTCCTCCTTGTTAGCCATGGACGCCTGGTGCTTCCTTGCTCGGTACAGCATGCTGCTTTGTTTTGGGGTTGGTTTATAGTCGTGACCAACAGTAAATTATTTTAGATTTGTACGTTTATAGAAAAGTTCTGTCTCAGTAATTCTGGTTTCTTATCACAGCACTCAGGAACCGGGTTCCTCTCTCCTTTCTATGTTTGAAGTCATAGACGACTAGTGCTTAGGTGGCTTTGAATGTCGTGATATTCCTTGATCCTGGGAATAACTGCGGTTTAGGATAGTTGGTGCTTTATGGAAGTTCGTCTCCTTGCTTTTCTCGGTAATTGTATAAAGACTCACTCCTTTATGTACATTGCAGATATGGGACTGCTGAGCTCTGTGCGCACCATGTCACCTTAGTGGCTCACCTGGTGAGTAGAATTGCAGGCCTAATGCAACCACTGCCCATGAAGTTCCTTTGGAGATATGCTAATCTAAAGAAAGTGAATATTGAACGGAGAAATACATGGCAGCTAAATTATTTTGACAGTTTGTTGATGCTGTTGAGAGAGATAGACTAGAAACACTGTAAAACTGGGGAAATTGTCTCATATTTTCAAAATTTTATTTGAGTTCTCTTAATTGTTCTGAGAAATAAAGACTAGGTTGAGAATTAATTTAAAATTGAATGCAAAATAGAAAATCAGGAGAGAAGAGTTTAATGTTGATGACCAAGAGTTCTCTCTCCCTCTCTCTAATATGACTTAGACAAGCTAACTCTTGAATTGTTGTATCTCTTTTAGTCAAGAGGGACTAAATGTGATAGTGATTAATGCCTTTTGGGAAAAGAAGTAATGCTTTGTGGGTGGGTACAAATAAAGAATGATTTAGTGATGATTTAATCTTTTCACATTGACCTTTTTTACTTTTAATTCTGAGATGTTTGATACATTCTATTGAGATGGTCATGACCTATTCGTTATTTATTTATTTTGCTCCTGGCCTTAGTATATTATGCAAGGAATTGATTTCCAGAAAATTGAGTTTATAAATCTTTTAATTATGGTTCCATCTTACAGAATTATACCCACCTCTGCACTGTTGTGCTTAGATCTGAAAACATTCCATGAATTGTTTTTGAGTAGGAGGTTGTCATCAAATGATAAGTTGAAACCAAGATTCCAAAGTGGTGTTTTAAATATAACATCAAAATACTTCTTTCAGTATAAAAATCTGCGTTCATGGGAAAAAAATTTAAAATTACCTATAATCTTATCTCCCAGAAAGAGCTACTGTTAACAGTTGGCATATAAAAGCTTATAAAAGATAAGATTTTAGGCCAGTCAATCTCCTGTCTTTTCCCAGATAAAGTCCTGCCCTGGAGAATGCCATCAGCTCACCAACCTGTCCATACTACTGCGGCGTCTCTTCTTCTTCATGGCCCCACCCCACCAGGCAAGAATGTCCTCGTTGTCACGTCTTTGAGCAACTGCTGAGGATTGGGTTCAGACTCTTTTTAAAACTTTTTCCTCCCCCCATTTATACTATGTTTAAATGTTGGCATAACAAAATTTTTTTTAATAGTCTTCACCCAAGGATATTTTTCCCCATTGATTTTTAGAGAGAGTGGAAGGGAGGGAAGAGGAGAGAGAGAAAAGAAACATCGATGTGAGAGACACAAATGGATTGGTCGCTTTCCTGACTGGGGCTGGGGATTGAACCTGCAACCCAAGTGTGTGCCCTTGACCAGGAATCAAATTCATGACCCTTTGGTGCATGGGCTGATGCTCTAACCACTTAGCAGCACCAGCCAGGGCAATAAGAACACACTTTTTAATGTATCTTTGCTTATTGCTTTTAGATGAGTTTAGATTTTGATGTTAAAGAAAAACCAGAGCTACACAGTAGTTAAAGTGGTAAATGCAGATTTTACTCAGGAACTGCCACGATGGGAGAAAGAGACCTCAGGGTGCAGCTGGCTCAGTTCTGAATTCCGCACAGACAGGTGAGGCTCAGAGTCAGGGAGCAAGTGGACGTCAGAATTAGTAGATGAAACATCGGGGCGGGGTGATTTTTGCTAAACTGACTTGACAAGATTCTTGCTGAACACAGACCAGGTGCTCAGATAGCAAGGGGGAGAGATTCTTTCCAAACTGACGGCAGGATTCCTGCTGGCACTGGATGATGCAGGCCCAGCATGGGGGACAGCCCAGGGTCGAAGGCTAGTCATAGGAAGGCTCAGAGGAGCCTGACTTAAGTTTGTTAGTGCCTTTGCTGCAAGTTAGATAATAGTTCTAATTCTCTCTTCCTGAAACATCTTCCCTCTTGTTTCTTGTGCATTTAAGATACTTGAAATGGTTCTATGTCTCCTGCCTCTGTAACTAATTTGAAGAGCTAGAATATTATTTATGCCCTTAGTGATATCTTTTTTTTTTCCAGTAAATGAGTTTAACATGCAGGGGAAATCGAAAGTAGGATGGCCGTAGCTGTTGAGGTTGTGAGGAAACAAGCTGTGATGGAGGAGGCTCTGCAGTTACAGGGCCTGGTGGCCTCGGGCAGTCCCTCTGACTGCCACTTGGGAGGCCTAAGGAAGGTAGGGGAGAGTGGGGGTTCCGGGGAGAGGTCAGTCAAAGGACTTGTATGCATGCATATAAGCATAACCAGTGGACACCCAGGGGGTGAGGGCCTGAGGGGGCGGGCAATGGGGGGATAAGGACACATGTAATACCTTAATCAATAAAGAAAGGAAAAAACAACAACAACAGAACAGGTTCCCGGACCTTCATCTGGGTATGGAGTGGTGGCTCTGAAGTGAGGCTTAGTAATTTGTTTTTGTTACTGTTGTTAAATTCCTATATGAATCTGACAGGGACGCACGCTTGGGAACCACTAGGTTAGCGAAAGGGTTACAGGCCTCTGTTTGAATCCTGGTTTAGTGTGACCGTGGACAGGTCACCCTTTCTGAACCTCAGTTTCCCTGTCTACACAGTGGTGGATATGTATAACTAGTTGTGAAAAGTTTTGTAAGGACTTAGTAATATCTGTAAGACACTAGCGCTGGAGGGGTGCTCAGGAAACGCTGGGAGTTACTCTCACTAGAGCAGCGGTTCTCAACCTGTGGGTCGCGACCCCTTTGGCGGTCGAACGACCCTTTCACAGGGGTCGCCTAAGACCATCCTGCATATCAGATATTTACATTATGATTCATAACAGAAGCAACATTATAGTTATGAAGTAGCAACGAAAATAATTTTATGGTTGGGTCACAACATGAGGAACTGTATTTAAAGGGCCAGAAGGTTGAGAACCACTGCTCTAGAGGATTTGGCCCGAGTCCGCAGTCTTCTTTCCTGCCCTAGAGAGGCTGGCTGGGCCCTCGCTGTCCTTCCTCCCAGCTCTAGCCTAGTGGTCTGCTCAGGTCCCTTGAATCTTCTTCTCACTCTCCTGTCAGAGGCCTTGTCCTAGGTTCTCGGTACATTGCTCTTCATGGAGGGAGGGAAAAGGTCCTCTTAACCTCAGTTTCTCACATAGAAAATAGGAATGAAAGTATTCGTTTCCAGGGTTGTTGTGAAATTTTAACTTTTAGAATAATACAACTCACAACAAATTAGCTCTAAGTGAGGTCTAGAAGCTTTGTTATAAATAAAGGAGATAAACTAATTTTAGACATCTTTCATCTCCATTTTCTAAGTTTTCCCCAATAATTGAGGCTATCAGATATATGTTATGGGTCAGTGAGGGGTTTTTAATTTTTTCCTTCAGTTATCAAATATTGATTTTCTGCTATGAGCAAGTTACTATGCTAAAATTTACAATTAAAAGATAGCCCTAGCCAGTTTTGCTCAGTGGGTAGAACATTGGCCTGTGGACTGAAGGGTCCCAGGTTTGATTTGGGTCAAGGGCACATACCTTGTTTGTAGGCTCCATGCCTGGCACATTTTGTGCTCATTCCGGAGGCAACCAATCGATGTGTTTCTCACCTGGATGTTTCTCTCTGTCTTTACCCCTCCCTTCCACTCTAAAAACCAATGGAGAAAATATCCTCGGGTGAGGATTAGCAAAAAAAAAAAAGTTAACAATTAAAGGACAAATCTGAATTTGAATCCCTGTTCTTCAAGTCCTTGGGAGTGTTCATTAGTCCTGAAATTGAGATACTGAGGCTTATTCTGATGGCAGCTGTGAGGTTTGAAGTGAGCATATACCAAGTGTCACTTCTGCCCTGTTCAGCTCTTTTTCCTAAGACATGGCTACTCCTCTAGAGGAAGGAGGGAGGGTACAGACATTTTTGGAGACTGTAATGTGGACTGGGCTTTATATCAGGCACTCAAACTGTTTTGGTCCTCATGTCAGCCTTGTACAAGGGATACAGATGAAGAAACAGTGATTCAGAAATTAACTTCCCAAACACCCATAACAAATGTCAAGCTAGTCCTGCGTTGTCTCAAGTAGAGCAGAGCCAGTTCCCACTGGAAAACTGACTCTACGACCTTTGCTTCTTTAAGTTCCTGTTGCTGTGTTGGGAATATTACTTCTGACTTAACTGTATAAGGTGATGATAGTATGAATTCGTAGGAAAATAGTAGGCTTGCCCTAGCTGGTTTGGCTCAGTGGGTAGAGCGTTGGCCTGCGGGCTGAAGGGTCCCAGGTTCAGTTCTGGTCAAGGGCAATGCCCGGGTTGCAGGCTCCATCCCTAGTGCAGGAGGCAGCCGGTCAATGATTCTCTCTCATCATTGATATTTCTTTCTCTCTCTCTCCCTTCCTCTCTGAAATCAATAAAAATATATTTGAAAAAAAATAGTAGGCTTACTGGGTAGGAGCTTATAAAATAGCTGACCTGACTATTAAGGAAATATATTCTTTTACATTCTCAGTGCATTTTCATAATGTTCCTGAGGGAGACAAATGCAACAACAAAAATAATAAGTGTTCATTTCAGTTAACCTTGAATCTGGTACCTTGTGATAACACTGCTTAATTAAAAGCTTTTAAAATATATTAAATAATATATTAAATTACTCCTGTTTCTGTAACAATTTATTTCAGGTGGAGTTTATCCAGAAATTTGCCCCAAAAGAAGCGGAAAATCTGCCTCTGTGGCAACATATTTCTTTCCAGGCTTTCCCCGCTGAGCTAAGGAAGCAAACTGCGCATGAGGTTGTCAGAGTAGGCGCTGCACAGACCAGGAGGTGGCTCGGTGGCAGTCGCACTGTGGGGGAACTCGAGTGGCTGGCAAGTAATCAGTTTGATTGATTTGATTTTTCAGTAGTGGTTGGTGAGCACCGTTTTAGGAATGGGTGGGTTGTCATAAGATGGACCAGTCTCGGCCCTCAGGTTAGAAACTTGTGAGATTTTCAGATTTCTACGTTCTGTGAAAGGCTCTGGGAAACATCCTGTCTTAAATGATGTAAATTATAAATTATATGGAGGGTGAGTGTCTGAAGCTCAAGACATACTGAACCAATGTTCACATTACGAAATTTCTTTATCTAGTATTTTTGCTGACACAGCTCTAGGTCCTTCTGTTTGACAGGATACAACCCCTATATTATGTATACCTATTCTGAGCCTTTATGTACCTTTCTATTTAGAATGCTCCCTCTTAAAATAATGCAATAAAAAAGAAGTTCATCTGTAAGAAGTAATAATTACAATTTTGAAAAATGGATTATAATACATGGAGTTGAATTTTCCAGTTTAGTGTTCATTTGCTCATTCATTTACTCAAACCTATTTTGAGTGCTCTTGTGTGCCAAGCTTTGTTCTAGGCATTGGGTATCTCAGGGAACAGAACAAGAATTCCTCCTCTCATGGACTTACATTCTAGCTTAGCAAGGTAGTAAAATAACTGGTAAGTATGATTATCAGTTTGTGATAAGATGAAGAAAATCAAGCAAGGATGGGGACAGGGCCTTCAAAAGGTTGGGGACTGGTAAGTTCAGGATTTCTGAGGGGTTTATATTTCATTTCTGAGTGTAAATGTTCTAATACGCTCTATTTAATGGCACTTGACCACAATTATCATAATGACATTTGCATGTATCTAAAGGAAATAAACGTATTTATGTGCCTTTATTTGGCAGAACTCTTAAATACCTAGTTAGGAGTAGGCTAAGTGGTTCACGTTTTGCATTTATTGGGCAACTAATTTCTATAGTAAAGACAAAAAATATTTTGTATTGGGTAAAATAAAAGCACCTATTTTCTAAAATTGAATAAATCTTTTATGTATGACCAAAAACTAGTTCAGCAGGTTACTTAACCTGTTTATTTATAAAAAGAAATGGGTAAATTGTAAATAAAGAGCAGTATGGTAATTACATAAAATTAAGGGGTTGTTGACATATAATGGGTGAAAGGCATTGTTACTGTCGTTCCATTCTCATGGCCTTCACTTCACATCCCAACCAAGCCCACACCTAAGGGGCTAAGATGGGATATGTAACTAAGAGTGAATCAAGAAAAGGTTGTTTTTAGTCTGTGATTCTAGATAGTGTACTACTACTACTTACATTTTTTAAAAAAGATTAGTTTATTGACTTTTAGAGAGAGAGAAACATTGATGTGAGAGAGAAACGTCTGTCAGTTTTCCGTGCATTCCCTGACTGGGGATTGAATCCGCAACCTTTCAGTGTACAGGACGATGCTCCAACCAGCTGAAATACACTGACCAGGTCTAAATTGATGACTATTATAAATTAGCTTGGCCATACTGACTATTTGTATCAAACTTATTAAGATAAAATGTTCTTTTTATTTTCTTACTAAGTTTTTAACCTAAAAGGAAAAAGGTTTATTTTAAAAAATGAAGCTAATGTTTCTATGTTAAGGAAAATTAGTTTTATTAAAATATATTAAAGAAATAGCTGAAAAGATGGCTTTGGGTCTTAGGAATATAATTGCACATGGATTTTTATGAAGAATTATGAGTAACTCATAACCTCTAGGTAATTGGCCTCAGCTCCGTGAGGCTGGTGTCTCAACTCGGGTCCTTTTCCTGTCTCTCCGTAGAACACGGCGCTGTCTGCTTTGCTTGCTGTGAATAATTCTGCGAGCGAAGCTCTGGATATTGGACAACAAACTGCAGTTATGGAAGCCGGAAGTCAGCTTTGGGCTTTTCTAAACACTAATCTGGTAAGGAACACAACTGATGATTTCCCTGAAGAAAAAATAATGTATCGACAGAAGAGAATAGTATTGAAATTTCCCTGTAGAGTAAAAGGGATCTCATTTCTTTAGGTGCTGGGTAAAGCTTGTGATTACAACTTACTTGTACGATTGAATTAGATTAGTAAAGCCAGAACCTAGTCAAGATGGTGACAGTCCAGCTAACAGTTTCAGGACCAGTTGGACCCAATTTTTTTAAATTTCTTACCCTGTTATTTCTCTTCTCTCTTGGGTTAGTTTAGCCTGTTTTGTGATTCTCGGTTCTTTAATAATATCTTTTGGGCTTAAAGGTAGAAGGGCAAGTAGATGGATGACCCAGCAAAGACAAAGCCTAGCGATGAGTGGGCTGGAAATAGTGTATGTGTCCCACACGTTATTGCAGTTTGAAAATAGGATTTAAAAATCTAAATATGACATTTGATTTCTTTGAGTAGAAATAAATGTTGACCTTTGGCCGTCCCGCCTGTGAAAGCAGAAGGCAACAGTCGCACTTGTGGGAAATAATAGACATGGTTTTGCAGGTGGTTCAACATAAAGTTTGTGTGGCCACATTTCCCGTCTGCATATTTTCGCTTAAACAAGTGCTTCCCCCCAGTCCTCACAAATCATTCAATAAATATTCATAAAAGACCTGTTTTCTAAAATTGAATAAATCTATGTATGACCAAAAACTTGAGTTCAGCAGGTTATTTAACCTCTCTGCCGGTGACATAGCTTACAATATCATGACAGACAGTTATGGAGAGAGGAGTGGAATTTTAAGACTCAGGATATCCAAGTACAGAGGCAGACAGAAGTAATTAGATCTGGGTTTGCATCGTGTCTCTGCTTTTTACTAGCGACATGGCCGTGAGCAGATGGTGTGACCTGCCCCCGTTCTTAGTAAGCTGAGGGGAGTACCTGCCTCAGAGATCTGTAAGGCATAAGTGAGGTGATAAACAGAAAGAACCTAGATATAGAGTAAATGCTGATTAAAAGGCTGCTATTCACATGTTATTGAACATTTTCAACAAGATTATTTTGTTTCTTATTTAAGGTAACAGGTCAACCTTATGTTCAACGGACACTCAGCCTTTTATTTCCACTGTTGGGATTTTTCATTCAAACTCTAGATTCTCAGCTGATCAGTCAGGTAAGAATAGTGAGCAAGTGGATACTTTGTTGAGGAAGTTGTTAAACTGGGGTGACTTAAAATAACTTTCTAGAAACTGTCCTTTTTAATGATTTCTTGCGCAGTTTGCTTGTTACCTTTCTTGTGGAGTTGCACATAGCAGCTACAAATTGCTTGTCCAGGGATGTCGCCTCATTGCTTCTTTCTTCCTTCTAGTGGTGGATTGTTAGTCTGTTGGGCTGTTAATCCAGACTTTATCTGTCGTCCTTATCTCCTTGATTGGGGAGAGGCAAAACTTTCCTGTTACTGTTAACTGCTCAGAAAATCCCTGTGGTTGAGTCAGAGTGTGGGACCTGCATTCCCAGCACTTTCAAAGGCATTTCACAGCCCCGGGAGCGAGGACTGTAACCAGCATGGATGAAGGCTAATCCTGTTTCTTCGAGGAAATAAGATGGTTTTGAAGGAAGACTGCTGAGTTTTCTCTGACCCCAGCATGCATGTCTGGGACAGGCAGAACTGGGGTTACTGTCGGGGGAGCCTGGGGTGTTGCTCAGTTATGCCCCATTTGGGAGGTTCTAGGCCAGTGCGGCGAGAGAGAAGGCTTCATCTTATCTGAAGTGGTCTAGAGGCTCTGGAATGAGTCCAGACTGGACAGAATGATCCCCCAAGTCAAGAGTTGGCTTGTGCTTAGCCACACAAGAAACAAACAGAAAGAAAAGCTGTTATGAAATAGGACTGTCCCTGGTTATTCAGGAGGCTGGGTGATGGAAGGTAATATCCTGACGCAGTAGACGTGGGAAGCTCTGGTGAGTGGCTATATACATGAAAAATTTAAATATTTGCTAATTAGGTATGTTTTATTTTTTGTTAATCCTCACCTGAGGATGTTTTTCCATTGCTTTTCAGAGAGAGTGGGAGGAAGGGGAGGGAGAAGGGGACAGGGAGAGAGAAACATTGATATGAGACACATTGACTGGTTGCCTCCCAACTCTGGGAGCGAACCCAGGTGTGTGCCCTTGACCGGGTATTGAACCTGGCACATTTCAGTGCGTGGGCAGACGCTCTAACCTCTGAGACACATAAGCCAGGGCTAATTAGGTATATTTTAAAATTTCTGTATATGTAACATATTACTGAATTATAATGAGAATGTGGTAAAAACCATTCACTCAAATTATACTGAATGCAACATGTTGAATTTGTTGATTCTGAAGGTTCTATTATTCTTTTATGAAAAATTTAATGCTGCTAATTTTAATATAATTGTGCCTACCTTTAAAAAAATCCAAATCAAGTTCTAAAATTTCAACCTAAGTAAATTGTTCATTTAGGCATTTTCTGTTTTACAGAAGACTTTCTCTCATTGTTCCCTTAAATCAGGGGTTGGCAAATCTCCTGGCTAGATTCTGCCCTGCTTTCAGCACAAGAGCTAAGGATGATTTTTACTTTCTTAAAGGTTTATAAAATAAAATACAATAAAGTATGCAGCAGGGAACACATGTTGCTGCAAAGCCTAAAAATACTAACCACCTGGTCCTTTACAGAAAGTTTGCCAACCCCTGCTAATAATAAAGAACTTCTCTTACTAGAATTTAAAATACAAAATAATTTTTAAAGGTTTGAAGGAAGAGCACTGGTATATACTTTTTCAGGAACTTTTTTTTTACACAGTGGTTGGTAGGAAGAATGCTGAAGTAACTGACTCAATTTGTTTTATTCAGATCCCACCTTCATGAAGTTTAGGGTTTGTGGAGTGTTTGGCTGTTGTGGGTTTTGCTTTGTTTCCCCTCCCAAACCCCCATCAAAATCATAGTGAGGAGGTTTGTGCAAAATAACTGTTCTTTGGTCTTTGCCTCTTTAGGTAGTAACTCTGCAGGCCTCACTTCTGAAATTAGAGCCTCCAGACCATGTTCGCTTGGCAGTCCTTGACTTTGTGTCTTCTCTAGGAAAACTTTTCATATCTCCAGCTATCCAGGTAAAACTGTTCATTCTGTTCTCGTTATTACAAAAACGCTGCAAGAATGAATGACTAAGGGATTTTTAGGCTTTTGATTTCTTCAATTCTGTGTATTGATGACAATGAAAATTGGGGGTGGGGGGAATGTGTTTTATGAATAGAGAGTGACTATCAAAGTAGAACTCATTTTATTTTTCAGAAAAATATATATTGACACACACACACACACACACACACACACACACACACACGTCAACATAGTCTGAGATTTTCTTTGTGCCCACAAAGTTTCTGAGCAAAGAAAACATAGTGTATAATGAGGAAGTTGGGTAACTTACTGAAGTTATTCTTTTGGTTTTATACCCATGAAAGGGAGCCTGTTTGTTTTGAATATGTTGCGAAGTCTATGTAGTTGACAATTGGGTGCGTATTTATGACATCATCCTGTGAGGCCTGGCAGTGCACTTCTGTTGAAGGAGATCGTCCTCCTCAGTCTCACCTTCCTCGCTGCTGCCGTCACCACCCAGCAGTTCCAGACAATTGACTTTTCCCTCCTCCACGGGAGAGACGAGCTCACGGATATAAATGGAGCAAAACCATAATTGACATTACGGGTTGATTAAAATCTTTGCAACCAAAAAATGTACCTGGTTAGTTTCTAAGGGACTGTCTCCTTTGTTCCCAGGTAAATGATGCTGCCCCGTTTGTTGCCATCACATCAGGTTGTGTTTCAAGAGATAAGTATAGCTGTTGTCAGTCTGTTTTCAACTCTGTGGGCAAAAGTAGCCAAATCTTTCTAGAATTAGAGTGTTTTCCAAGAATGCGTCTGCATTTGGACCATAATGTGTCCAGGACCTATAGAACAGATGTTTTTATTAGCAGAAATTACCTTGTATGTTTCTAGAAATATATTTTCAGGAGTGAAGTTAAGGCCTGAAGAAATTTTGGGGATTCATCAGCAAATGAGAGGCTTTTAAAACCATTAGATAAGATTGATTCATATATTCATTTAAGAAAAAAAAATTACCGAGTTCGTATATGTGTATCAGGCTCTGTTTTAATCACTGGGGATTCAATAATGAACCCAACGAATCCCCCACTGAGAGACTGCAGACCAGAGAAGTGGTGACATGTGCAGTGTATGGGATGGTGTGAGTGCTGGGGCGGGGGGGGGGTTGGGGGGGGTGAAGAGCAGGGAAGAGAGCGTGTGGACATGGGGCACAGCTCTAAGTGGGGTGGTACAGTCAGTGGTGACACTAAGACAAGCCGAGGGAGCAGGGAAAGGCAGGTAGAGAGGCTCTGACCTGGGAGTCTGTCTGGTACACTGAGGATGCATCAATGTCATGAACAGAGGCGGCGGGCTTGCAGGCCAAGGTCAGGTCCCTGATTTATACGAGCGAAATGGAAAACTCGAGCAAAGGAGTGACATGTCCAGCATGTGTTTTAATACAACATTAGACATATTGCATTTACTCTGCTTGGTTCTCTCTTTAGGACAAAATTGTGCCCAACCTGTGTTCCATTTTTGCTTTGCTGCTGGCCGACAGGAACTGGCTGTTAGAACAACATGCCTTGGAGGCATTTACTCAGTTTGCAGAGGTAAGACCCACCTATGGCAGTGACCTGCAAAGCATTTCAACATTTCAGACACCCCAGAAACAGTGATGAGCTGCTTCCGCATCTTAGTTGTAAAATGTTCTGCTGCAGGAGATATTTCTAAAGATGAGGCATCAAGAAGTGAGATTCCTAAGGGCCTGTGGGTAGTAACAACCCAACAGGCATTCTAACCAGGTCTGCTAATCCGGGCAGTCTCCTTGATGCAGTTTTTGGGTTGGAAGATAATACGTATCACCTCAAACTATCCTGGGGTCGGTCAGGTTGATGAACACAGACCTATTACCTTGGTTCTGTGGAGAAGGTGATCTGGCGTGGACGGCTCCTTCCCACTGTGTACATTGCAGAATGGGGTATTGCTCTAAGGCACCTGGAAGAACTACAAGCTAATCATCTCCTGAGTATCCCCTGGCACTGTTTTCTCTTAACCAGTTAACTACCATGCATCCAAAACAGAAACCATCCCCACACGCCACAATATTTTGAATTTAATAAAAAAAGTCAATTTGCAATGAATATTATAAAAATAAATGTATTACAATTCGGATGTTCTTGAATATTTTCAGCTGAAAATTCTCACGAAAAATGATTTTAAAGTTGGCCAGGGCTGCCACTTAGGACAAACATTTTTAATAGACACCTGTGGCATGTGGGGAAGGTCTGCTGCTTGCATCTACAGACGCTTATGGCGTACAATGGGTTAAAATGCTTTTTTGAGTAAGGTGGCCCTTAAAACTCATGTATGTGTCTTTTCAACTTATTGAAATATATTAAAATTTCTTATCAATTTTTAATAGGGAACAAGTAATGAAGAGATAGTCCCCCACTGCCTCAGTTCTGAAGAAACTAAGAACAAAGTGGTATCCTTTCTGGAGAAGGTATTTATTTTATTTTACACAGAATCAAAACAATGGTGTCACTGTTCTTTATCGGGTGACTTTTTAAACAGGTTCTCTCCCTAGCTTCACCTTTTGCACAGTGGTGACACATCACAGAAGTCAGACACGTGGAGCCACTGTCTGTAGCAGTGAGGACCCTGTTTAGTGACCGTGATTAGATGCTAATGTGCACCACTGTGGTTCGGATGTAACTGAGGCACGGCTTCTCTGCACTGACAGACCAGGACACAGACTTTTTAGTTTTACTCAATCCTACAGCTCCCACATCTGTGCATCCTTTGTCACTTTCATGGGGACCGTGTTAGGTGAAGCATAAGAGAATAATAGTTAAACCACAGGCTACCTAACACCGGGAGCAGTCTTATCACACGGACTTTCATGATCTCTGCAGACGGGATTTGCAGACGAGACGGTAGCTGCTAGAGTGGAGCGTGTGAAACAGGAAAAAGGGATTTTCTGGGGATCCTTGGCAACAGTTACGTTAGAAGAAGCAAAGTGGTCATCTTCACAGGTATGGACTATTGCATTACAATATGGTTCAAGCTTTTTTTGTAAGAGAAAGTCTGCTCTTAGTACTTAACGAGTAAGCAAAACAAACTAGTATGGTTCTTGTTCTCATGTTGCATATAAAAATAAGTAGATCTAGACATGTAAAATTCTGTTTTATGCTAGATGCTCTCTAAAAAATCATTTTTCCCCCTAAAAAGTTATGAACACCTAAAAACAGGACTACAAGAGTAAGCTTTGAACATCATACCAAATACACTGTTGACACACCTGTTACCTGTAGCTGCCCCTTTCCCAGTTTGTGACCCAGAGAGGAAAACCAGAGAACTTACCTTCCAGAATGTTTATCTACCAGATACCCTGCCTCATTCTTTAAATCAGCCTAATAATTTTTGGCAGTGCCTCAAAATCACATCTGCCTATTATTAAATATCCACTAGGGATATTTAAAATGGTTTTTTTGGTTTGTTTTTTGAGTACTGACAGTATATTAGGAATTGCAATCCACAAGAACAATGTTCTTGTAAGTTTTAATAACTTGTTTTCAAGACTTTTATGCCTGAAGTCTGTAAAGTTAAATATCCTATCAGTAGCATAAGGGGGCCCTCAACCCCTCTTTCCTGGGCGGTAGTTATAAACTCGGCATTAAACATGGAAGGAAGCATAAATCCAAATGGGCTTTTTGGTAGGACATGTTGGGTGTGTCTAGAGCTCACTCACTGAAGTGCTGGAGGGGAGGTGTCAGCTCTGCGTCACTGTGACAGACAAACACCTGCGCGTCTTTCCAGGGGATGGTGGTGGTGCTGCTCTTGTGAACCAATGACTAGAGTAACATTTGCACATGCAGCTTTTCATAGTTTTAGAACTTGTTCTAAGCAGCTTTGTTCTAGTCCGCAACAAAGTTCTTGGTAGTTTTTAGAACAGGTAGGACATTCTCACTGTCTTTCTCGTTTGCCAGCCTTGTGCTAAAAGAGCCCGCCACGAGCCCCCTGTGGAGGAAGAGTACAGGTCAGCACTTCAGGCCGCAACGGGGGCCCTGGAGGCAATCGAGGTACTGCTCCAGAAGTCCCCTGCTCCCGACTGGCTCCCCACAGAAATGCAGCTGCTCCAGGAAAAGATTGATGAGCTGAAACGCCGCGGGCTCCAGGATGAAACTTGAATGGACCGGACCAGACCATCGCTAGACAGAACTGAGTATGACTATCATTCTACAATGTAGTTTGTAAGTGAAAATATTTATGTAAATTATGTCTATATATTTTCTAACACAAAACAACTTTTGTAAAGTTGCATCTAGTGAAAATAGTCTTTATTGGATGTTTAGAGAACAGGATTTTGGGGAATATTTCTCATGAAGAACTTTGGTCCACATAATATATGTGGGAATAACTGTAAACAAATAAATAAGCTGCCGAAGGAAACCTTAGCAATTTAAAGTCATTTACGTCCTTCATAGTAAAATGTTTTCCAGGTGTTGCATTTCATAATAGAGCTCACTCTTCTCACCGGTAAAAGAAATGGCACAAAATTAAGCTAATCAGTTGGAAGGTCTTGCATTTATTTCCTTTACTTCCAGAATGACCCGGCCTTGGAGGCACAGGCTCTTCCCCCAGCTGAGGGCCACACCCAGGGTCTCTCGCTTCCTTGGCACAGACTGGAAAAGCTCCTGGTATGAGAAAAACAGGATGCTTTGGGGGTTTTCTTGTCTGCAGAGCCTGCTTTTGAGGTATTAATTTGATTTTTTTAAAAAGGAATCCTTTTTCCTAGAGTTTAACTCACAGCCATTGTCACCAGCTGCTGTCTCCCCAGTTCAGCTCCCCGGCATCTCCCCAGCCTTCAGACTCCGCCTGCAACGACATAAAGCCAAGGGCAGCTGCTGGGACAGCGTCTCCACATTCGAAAGGTCAGCAGTTTATAGTTCCTTGTGCAAATAAGTAAAATCGCTTTCTAAGCACCATCTAATCCACTGAAGTCCACCTGCTGACACCTTACTCTTCTCCCTTTTCCAAGTAAAAAGGACTATTTACTAGTGCCACTGAACACTTAGCCACACTGCTGCATTTTTCTGGGGAAGGAAAGATGGCAATAGGAAGTGACTTTACTTGCCGCTCTGACTGGGCACAGGTGTCTCTTCCCTTGGCGGGAAGACAGCTAGGTGTCTGTGAGGAGGGGACAAGGCAGCTGGTACCCACAAAGGAAATCCTTACCTCAGTCATATCTGCTGCAGCAAATTTTGAGGAAAACTGCATCCCTGGTGAGATACCATCCGCGTTGGGGATCACCGTTTCTGTCCTCAGGTCAGGTAGAACAAGAATAGCACCCGAAGGCTTAATTTCGGGGATCATGTCAGCAAACCAGTCCAACTCAGGGTCCTGCGCTAGCTTCTTTTTCACTTGAATGGTGAACTCCTCTCCTAAACCAAGTTCTGATGGAACCTGAGGGCGCCTTTCTCGTGATGATACTTTTGGGGGCTGGGCTGGGCTAGGACTGGTCTTTTGGGGTTGCCTTGATGCCAAAGGCTTGGCCTCCTCTGTGAGCAGAAGAGAAGTGGGAATGGCCTTGTGCTCCCCCGAGGTACCAGAGCTTCCACCTCCTGGGCTCACTGCATCGCTGAGGCTGCTGTGCTTAAGGTCATCCCACGTCTCCACCACCTTCAAGTCCGTGAGTGGGGACCTGGCAGGCTCTGGAGGCCACACCTGTGTGCTGACAGTTCTACCTTCAGGCTCCCCGGGCTCGCTCCAGTCGGGCCACTCCTCCACTTGGGGACTTGGCAGGAAGTTTTCACTGTCACCTGAGGTATTTTTTGCGTCTGAAAGTCCATTCATGGGAAATGTCCTGGGCTGAGAAAATCGATCACCTGTGGGACGTGTACAAGAATTATTCTCCTAAATGTTGGTTAAAATCAAGAATATATTTAGGGAAATGTACAGTGTAAGTTTTTTGAAATATCCTTGTACACTAAACCACAAAAGCAACAATTAGAGTTTCTCTTACTAAATACTCAAACATAAATGCTGTTGGCACAGTTGTCTATAAATAAACAGAAGTGTTAAGACAGCCGATGTTACCCTTGCAGTGTCAGTTATGTGCACCCTAAAACTGTGTGCATGGCCAAGTAAGTCGGCCTCAGTCAACGTACCTTCCCTTGAGCAGTTGCCTTTGTGCTCAGGGCACGGAGAAGTCTGTGCAGTGACGACCAGCCTTTCCCCGGGCTTCCTGAACCACGACACCTGTCCTCTCCCAGAGCTATTGCTCTGAGACAATTTGGAAAATGCTACACGGAGGCTCAAAAGTTCAAAGTAAAGAAAGTGTCTGCTGTAACAGATTCAAGCAGTGTTGACCCGCCCCTCTGCCAGCCGTAAGCAAAGGTAGTTTGTCACCCTGTGGCCTAGAGAGGCAAGGTGGCACCCGAGCTGACTTCTCTTGTAATCAGTCTCAAATGTCCCCGAAGTGCCCTTAATTTTCAGAATTTAAACTTATTACTCAAGAAAACGTTCACCCGAGCAATGGAAAAGCTGTATAAACTTACTATTTCTACCTGTCTGGGGAAGAGTGGTGTAGGAATCTTGCTGTTTGTGCTTCTTGCTGCCGATGGGCCGGTCGTGAGGAAAGAACCCTTTAGGGAACACCCTGGAGGGGTTCTCCAAGCCGGGGGAGGGCTGCCTGTGCTGGCTGCAGGCCACATGCGTGGGAGAAGCTGAAGATAAACAAACTCCAAAAAGTGAGAGGGACGGTAAACTGTCCTGCTCTAGCACACGTTAGGTGAGCAACAGTTAAGGGAAATGGGTATATTTAACACAAATAAGAAAAGTGCAGGGAGAAATGTACCCCTAGTGTTGGAGTGGATTGCCTGTCCTAGGGGTGTGTGAGGACAGGCTGAGTGTCCACCTGGTGGAGCTGGACTAGAGAGACAGAACCCTTAGGATGACACCTAGTTAGGAAAGTTACAGCCTGGAAAACCAGAAAGTTCATACTCAAGAGTTAGCATTGCTCAAAAGGATTCAAACACAATTCTGGCTACTTCCTCTGCCAACCTCTCACTTGCTGTTTGGCAGCACAGACCTCACCCAGTCTGATGAGTGCATGTCACAGCTGTAGAGGTGGTGGCAGTTCTATGTCCTCTCAGAGCCCCCCTGACCCAGTCTCGTCCGAGCTCTTCAAAGGTTTGGGAAGCAGGAATTGCTTTAAAATTATCTTGGCATCAAATTAGAGCCTAGACTATCTGATGGCTCTTTTCTAATAACTTTCCCTGCATCTACCAACTATCAGGGAGGACTGGATTAGAGAGCCAGTTTCACGATGTCACTGTCCTTCCTACGCAGGGTTACCTAAAGGAGCAGGAAGCAACCTTGTACAGCCTCTAAAGACCAGAAATGACTGCCACCTCCCAGGTAACGTCCAGTGGGAACACACTGAAATAAGGCTTCTTGAAGTACCTAAACACCAACAGCTTTTCACCTAATGGGCCAACAAAGTCAAAAGAACTTAACTACTAAAGCATTTATGGAAACTGACAATATCTACTAAAATTTTAAATAACATATATTCCTGTGACTCAGTAAGTCTACTCCCGGACATGATCCTATAGCAATAAAACTGTATTTCTAAGGATATCTAGTGCAATATGTGGGTAGGGGTTAAAAAGCCAGAAATGGGGAAATCACTTAGTGAATTACACTCCATGGAATATAAAGTCGCTTTCACAAAGACGAGCTCGAGTTTATGCTGACCTGGAGGCTGGTCCCTCATAAACTGCTACATGAAAAACACACACACAAAACAAAAAACAAGCTGTACAACTGTGGACAGTATTTTCTCATCGTTTAAAAAAATTGTGTGAAGCCCTAGCTGGTTTGACTCAGTGGGTAGAGCATTGGCCTGTGGACTCAAGAGTCCCGGGTTCACTTCCGGTCAAAAGCACATGCCCAGGTTGCAGGCTCAATCCCCAGTAGGGGGCATGCAGGAGGCAGCCAATCAATGATTGTTTCTCATCATTGATGTTTCTATCTCTCCCCTCCTTTCCTCTCTGAAATAAAAATGTATTAAAAAAAACTGTGTGTAGCCCTGACCAGTTTGGCTCAGTGGATAGAGCATCGGCCTGTGGACTGAAAGGTCCTGGGTTTGATTCTGGTCAAGAGCATGTATCTTGGTTGCAGGCTTGATCCCTAGTAGAAGGCGTGCAGGAGGCAGCTGATTGATGTTTCTCTCTCATCGATGTTTCTAACTCTCTATCCCTCTCCTTTCCTCTCAAAAAAAAAAAAAAATCAATGAAATACTAGTATATTTTAAAAAATAAAAAGCTGTATGTGTAAATATACATTTGTCTTTTTGTGGCTTTTGAGAAAGGGATGAGAGGATTCCCACTCAGCTATTAAAACTGGTTTCCTGTCCCCAGAAGGAGCTGGGAAGGGAATTACCAGCTGTTCCCTTACACTTCTCTATGTCATGACTGCATACAACCACCTGCATCATTTGTACAATGTTAAAAATCTAATAATACTTCACACAATAAAGAGGCCTTTTAAATCATTCTTACCTTCTGGGGAAAGGTCAGTAGTTTTTGTAAAACTGGGGGCAGTGCGTTTGAAGACCTTGGTTCTCTGTCCTCCCACAACCACCTCTGGTCCAAGTAGGGAGACCAGCACAGCCAGGCTGTGAAGCGTGATCGCCACCATGGAGCTGCTGGTATCACGCAGGCCCAGTAACACCTAGGAGCAGACAGGGTAGTGAGTGCAGACAACCACACTGCCTGCAATCAGGCTGTGTTTGCTCAGATGAATTTCATTTCTTAGACACGTGTTCTGGGGCAGTAGCTTAGAACTGTGGTTAAGGACCAACATTTTCCCCTCCCAATCTAGCGCAGAGTGGATTTAAAAACGACGTAAGATGATATGGCCACCTGTGGGCAGGAAAATGCTGTGCTCGCCTCCTCCCATAACCACATCAAAGTTACAGTTAAATTATAGAACCACCACCCTTGAGGACTACCTGACAACTAGCTGAACAGAAGTCCTATAATTATGGATGTGGCAAATCTGAGTCTCATTAACCTGGCTAACACCTTTCACCTCTCTGGTGAGGCCCTGAAACTCCACCCAACTCGGCCCTGGGGAACCTCTTCCAGCAGCTCCTCCACACACGTGACCCGTGTCAGTTCACGATGCAGACTTTCCTAAAATCTCTAGGTCCACAAACCAAACAAGCAGGGGCTGGCCTCGGCATGCCCTGTACCAGTTGCTACGCTACCCAAAGCCTTAGACACAGGCTGCGACTGGCCTCAACTTGCACGGTAGCTCACATCAGACACCCCAAGCCTGGCATCAGCTGCAACCAGTGCTGACTTGGAACACAGCTTCAACCAAGTGGCCACCAGCCCGGCACAAGTGGTCGTCTGCCCTCAGCTCCAATCATGTGCTCACCAAAGGGTCCCAGGCCTGGCACTAGTGGCAGTGGCCTGTCCGCAGCACAGTGTCTCACTGCACAAGCATCAACCAATTGCAGATCAGTTTGTAGCTCCCACCAGGTGGCCCCAAGCCAGGCACACGCGGAGGCTGACCTTGGCCCACATGGTCAAGAGGCTCCAGCACCAACACCTGGTGGCTTGGCTTACGAAGCACCACCCAAACAGCTCCACCAACAACACACCTGAAAGGCGGATTCAGCTGGCACCAGAGCTCAGCCCCCCTCACAACAGCTTACCCTACGTTATAGCAGGGGAACAGCAGCTCAAAAAGGGCCAGGGACACTTGGGAAACAACTGACTTCAGGGCAAGGGCTGGAGAGGCAGCTTTCTCCAAGACAGAGGTCCTGGCAGGTGCCACTGTTCCTGCACTGAGCCCTCCCCCAACTCAACCTGCGGGCACAGGCACCACGCCTGAGTCGCCATCAACCTGGCTCATGGCTCGCCCTGCTGATTCCGCAAGACTCCAGCCACCCAACTTCTGCACGGACCCAAACCTCCTTCTGCAGCTGTTTCTCCTAAGCCACTGGCCTTGGCCTGTGCTGTGGACGTTTTTAATGTTTACTGAATTTACTGGGGTGACATTGTTAATAAGATTATATAGGTCTCAGGTGCATATCATCTGTACATTGTATTGTGTGTTCACCAAGTTAAGTCTCCTTCCATCACCATTTATCCTCCTTACCCTCGTTAAGCTCCCCCATCTCCCTTTCCCTCTGTAATTAGCATAAAACCTCTCAAAGGTCCACAACTACAACTCATGGGTAAGGAAAATTAAGATTAAAATTTCCATACTAAACAAAGTAATCCACAGATTCAATGCAATCCTATCAAAATGCTAATGGCACTTTTCACAGAACTTGCATAAATAATCCTAGAATTTATATGATTCACAAAGGACCCTATGAGAAAGAAAGTTGGAGGTATCACACTCTCTGATATCAAATTATACTACAAGCCCATAGTAATGAACACAGCCTGGCACTGGCATAAGAACAGGCATATAGATCAATGGAACAAAACAGCCCAGAAATAAACCCATGCCTATAGGGTCAATTAATCTATGACAAATGAGGCAAGAATATTCAATGAGGTAAGGACAGTCTCCCAATAAATGGTATTGGGAAAACTGGGCAGATACATACAAAAAAATGTATGTATTTTACTCCTTACTCCACACACAAGAATAAACTCAAAATGGATTAACGACTTAAATGTAAGACCTGAAACCATAGAACCCCTAGAAGAAAACAGGCAGTGAACTCTGACTTGGCTCTCGGTAATATTTTTTGGGATATGTCCCCTTGGGCACAGGCAACAAAAGAAAAAAATACATAAAAGTTTTTGCACAGCAAAGGAAACCAACAAAACTGCAGACTGAATAGTTGCATAGTGTCACCCCAAAATTCATGTCCACCCAGAATGTGACCTTAAAATGAAGTCATACTGGGTTAGAGTGGGCCCGACACCTAATGCCTGGTGTCCTTATAAAAAGGCCACGTGACAACGGAAGCAGAGGTTGGAGCGACACAGTCAACACCAAGAAAGGCCGAGGAGCCACGAAAGCTGGGAGACCTGAGAAAGGACTGGAGCCTTCAAGGAGCTCGGGGCTGCCCACACCTGTTTGCACTTCTGCCTCCAGAACCGAGAGGCGTCTCCTGTTAGAAGCCACACCATTTTCAGGCACTTGTTCATCACTCAGGAAACGCACAAGCCCTGAGCCTTCAAGTGGGCAAATCCCAACGAGGCTCCGTGGTGGCTGAGGAAGAGGCTGAAAAGCCCTGAATCTCAACATCCGTCCCACTCAGTTATCATTATTTTTACTCGTTATGAACAGTCTGTGTTCACAAAGCGTTGCACCAAGGATGCTGGCTCTTCTTCCCTGAAGAATTAGCAAACAATTATTGTTTTTCTCAGCTTCAGACCAAATCCATTAGTTTAATAACAGACTGGCCTTTGCGAATGCGATCACCATGTAGCTTTCATTTCAACCGAACTGCTGCCTCAGGGCCTCCTGTGCTCTCCTCTGAAAGCCACAGCCCCCTCTTCAGCCTCACTGACCAGCACCCGCGGCGCCCACGCCCTGGCCTCCCAGCTCCAGGATCCCCGGGCGCCGACGGCCTCTGACGGCCTCTGACCTGCGGCAGGATGACGATCCTCAGCTGCTCCGGAGTGAAGTGCTCCACGTAGGCCTCCAGGTGAGACAGCAGCACCGTGCGCACGTGCTCCTCGTGCACCTCGAACAGCTGCAGCAGCACGGGGACCACCCGCGAGCGGAACAGGGCCGGGGACAGCAGGCGCGGGGTCTCTTCGGGCCCATCGTCTGCCCCAGAGCAGAGGCGGGACGGATGAAACACAAACTGCCATTTCAGTGAAGGGTGCTAAGCATGACTCTCAAACTCAGCCGAGAACTGGACACACTCAGGACTCGCTAAATCCTCAGGCCCCAAACCAAAGGGCAGCTTTGTGGACCCGAATTTCCTCTCAAGGCTGAATTATAAATACACTCCATCTGACAGACGTGTTTTAAACATACTGTGTCATTCTTTTTTAAAAAATATTTTTTGATTTTAGAGAGGAAAGGAGAGGGAGAGAGAGAAACATCATTGATGAGAGAGAATCACTGATCGGCTGCCTCCTGCATGCCCCCTACTGGGGATCGAGCCCGCAACCGAGGTACATGCCCATGACTGGAATCGAACCTGGGACTCTTCAGTCCGCAGGCCAACGCTCTATCCACTGAGCCAAACCAGCTAGGGCTGTGTCATTCTTAATGTACTACCAAGAAAGCTTATAATAGAATCCGGAATTAATAACTCTATACATTTATGCTTACTCAGTGAGAAATTTTATATACTACATTAGATTGATAGTGTTGTTGCAATCCTATCTGTTGAAGGTGTTGAAACCACCAGACTTGGTGCTGGAGAGCTGCTGTGGTTGCGGAAGTGGGAACCTTTAAAATACGTATAATACCCCTGAACCAGGGGACCATGCACAGACAAAATCTTAAAAAGCTCCCCAGGTGACTCAGAAGTACACCCCCACCTAAGATCTGAGTAATGGGATCGAAGCGCTCTAGCGAACAGTTCATGGCTAAGGGAATGACATCAAAGAAGAATATAAGGAAACTCTAGTTAAGTACCTGCAACACTGTTTGCTGGATTTAGACTAAGAAAATAAATCCTAAAAGCAGGATTCTCCCCAACTCAAAGTTCTAGTCATATTAAAGCTATACTCTCTGATATGTTGCCATCTACAGTGCTGATGAAGTTACAAAGTTTCAAAGCAATAGGCTCATTTCACATTCCGAAAAAACCTGGAGTCCCAAGAAGTAAAGTGATCTCAGGGCTTTTCCATCTTTGCTCTGGGGAAGTCACTGCAAATGCACAAGTCCCTGAAGACGTGCTTTTCATATGCTAGTCCTGTGTGCACGTGTGTGCACGCGTGTGTGATATCCTGCTGACCACAGGGTCTGACTCTCCAGGAGACGCCATGTCTATGAGTCAGCGATCAGGGACCAATACTGCTCCCCACTCCTAGAAGCAACATTAACGACGCCGTGCGGTAATCTCACTGCTCAAATCCGGACTAATAATCCCCACATTCCTCAATGACCAATAACAGTTTGGAAAAAAATTCACCTTTTTTGGGGCCAAGCAGATGAGGGAGGAAACTCTTCACAGCCACTGGCTCTGCAAACACCAGCTGATTCAGCAGCAGAGGCACCAGCCGTGAGGCGATCAGCTCCTCCGACAAGCAGCTGAGTCTGTCCAGCAGAAACCTGCGGGCAGGCAGAGAAGCCTGGGAACTGGGCCACCCTGGGCCGGCCGCGCACGCTTCCGACCGTGCGCCTGACCCCACTCCATCGGACTGATGCATTCCCGAGTGAGCTAGGTCGGTCTCAGGCAGGAAGAAGAATGCAGGCGAGAGGCAAGGCCAGCTCATCAGCACTCAGACCTCCACGCTGAGCGAGGGAATGTTCCAGCACATTGCCCTCGTCAACAGCAGAAGCGTCCCCCCCTTAGCCAGGGCTTTCGAGTCAATAAAAGGTGCTTCCCTGATGTAAAAGATGGAGGATGTTAGAGTATCCAAACTTCCCACAGGAAACAAAGCACAGGCTTTTGTTACTAGACTTATTAGATTAAAACAGCACATGTAAAAGCCCTCAGTCAGGAAGGACACAGATACTGGATATTAACGTTAATATGACCCCACTATCCCATCAGCCTCCTGGGACCCTGCCTCCCAGTTTACTAGGAAATGGCCACTTTCCACATCCCTACTCATCCCTCCCGCCTTCCCCGGTACCAAAGGGTGAGGGTCTCCTCTTACTGAAGGCCACCCCCCAGCCACCGCCCCAAGTTCCCTCCCCTCCCAGCCCCCGGCATGCCTGCAGCTTTAACTGCACCTCCCCTCCTCTTCGCGCCTTAGAAACATCCACCTCAACTCCATTCCCTTCCTCAGCGGTTCCGGTTCCGTGCTCCCCGATCTCAACTTCGCAGGAGGTTTTACCCAACGTCTGCCTCCTCCCCTTGCCTTCACTTCCGAGGTCACTGCCCGGCTCACTCTGGGAAGCAGCTCCTGAGAGGAGCTGCCAGTGCCTTCCTGCCGACCCCACCTCCGGACCGGCTCCTCTCCCGGGAAGCCCAGCCTTCCTTCCTGCCGAGTTTCCTGCGACCACCGGTCCCTTGTCTCACTCGTCAGCCACTCCTTCCCTTCCAGCCCCTCACGAGGTTGGGTCTCGGGGCTACAATTTGGACCCACTGTCTTTTTCCTGCTCCCACCTTCTCTGGGAGAGTGTCACCAACTTCAGGCTGATGAACCCGAACAGTCATCTCCAGCTCTTCACCTTAAACCTTCTCTCCTGCGCTCAGACCCACCCAGGAGCCCAGGCACATCTCCCCTAGAGTCCCACGGACACACTGCCCATCCCGGCTGCATTTCCCGCACATGAGGACCTCAGCCCCAGATCCCAATTCACTTGGTGACGGTCACTAAAGCTTGCAATTTTACCTTTTAGGTCTTTCTTATCGCAGTGTCTTTGTACACGAAGCCTCACATTTACTGCCTTCACTACCTCGGGTCAGTCTAAAGCAGCGGTTCCCTCACCTGCTTCCCTCACCAGATCTACGCATGCAGGGCCCGGCAGGAAGCCTCACTCGGAGCAACACTCAATAAACTTCGGTAACAGACCAAATGTGTGACCCACCGATTTCACGGACTTAGCCCGAGTTACTGAATTTTAAGTGTTAACTTTCTGAACTTACTTAAAGAATTCAGTTTTTTCCTCTTCACTCTTCATTGTTAAACTTTTCAAGAAATTCACAACTTCTAGAAAATCATTCCTAAATGCCAAGAAGAAAAAAATGCGGAACAGATTAGAGAAGGCATGTCAAACACTGAAGCACAACCAGACAACACAACACTCAACAAGGAACACGCTCCTGTACCATTTAAAAGGCTCTGTTACAACTAAGCAGCTCATGAGACAAATGCTACGGAACAAGGAAACCTGGCATTGAGAACCAGAGAGACCTGTGGGAGGATACACCGTATCCATGCCCCATTGCTGTCATGGGATGTGGTCAAATGAGCTCCTGGGGAGAAACGGTTCTCATTACCAACTGGTTCTCAAGCCTGTGCTGAAGCGGAAACTACGAACAAGGGGTGGGGAGGGGTTTTCTCTACAAGTCACAGGAATCCTATTATTCCTGCTGCTGTAGACGTAATAAGTCACTCTTCCAGCCAGGCAGGGAAGAGGGCGAGGAGTGGTCAGTTTCTCAGGGCCACTGCTGTCCGTCCCACGGTCCTGTCCTCTGGGGATGGGGCCTGGGACGAGGCTTCACAGGCAGCCTCAGCCGTGGGCTCCACAGCTCACCCTCACCCGCTTCCCAGGGCTCAGCAGCAGAGGAAAAGCCCAGGTGTCCTAACTGGAGTCTAATGCCTCCGAGGGAGACGCCGCCCCGGCTTTGGGAGGGAGCAGGTGTGAGTTTCTCCCTTGCCGCTGCCCTTTCTATTGCGAGTTCTAAGAACGGTTACACGCACAGTGATGCGGAAACCTATGTCCCCGGAAGGATGGCCTTTGCATCAGGGTAAGTAAAATATGACTATGAATCACCCGCAGGACGTGGCGATGCCTTGGCTAACACTCCTGTAAGGGAAAAGCTTTGGACAGTTTCTTGGAAACAAATGACAAAACCCAGTAACTACAGGGAAACTGCCCTCTGGCTGAGTAACAGCAGCTCCCACCCTGTCCTGCAGGGAAGTGCTCCCTGGGGGAGCATCAGCTTCCCTTCGCCTCCTTTTCTCTCCAGTCCGACTGCAAGCGAGGAGTTTTAGTTTCGAAACTGACACAGGGTTGGCTTTGCTAACAAAAGTCATGAAGGTGGAAATTAACCTGAGCAGTTCATGGAAATAAAGAAATGAAAGACACATAACAAACCAACCTTGAGAGGCTCGGAAACATCTGAGCCTGCGACAGTGTTCCCTGTGCCCGTCCCTCAGCCCACCACTGCCCCAGCCCGTCTTACTAAACACAGAAACAATCTCTGCCTGAACAAAAGTAAGCTCCTCTCCAGCCCCAACAAGAAAATTTCAACAGCAAACTCACACTGACCAGTGGTGGCAGGAGGTGCGGCCACGCTCATTAACTTTCTCAATTACAACTGAGCCCAGGCCGCAGCCTCGCTTCTTCCCCACCAGATGCTCTAAGGCAGCGGTTCTCAACCTGTGGGTCGCAACCCCTTTGGCGGTCGAACGACCCTTTCACAGGGGTTGCCTAAGACCATCCTGCATTTCAGATATTTACATTACGATTCATAACAGTGGCAACATTACAGTTATGAAGTAGCAACGAAAATAATTTTATGGTTGGGTCACAACATGAGGAACTGTATTAAAGGGCCAGAAGGTTGAGAACCACTGCTCTAAGGATTCAGCTAAAATGCCTCGGCCCGGCCTTTTGACAACAGGACCTGGAGAGGTGACCCGACCTCCCTATGCCCCAGTGGACACAACTCAACCTCCCCTGGTTCACAGAGAGAGGACGCAAGGACAGCAGGCGTGGAGCGGGCAGGTGTCCCACAGGCCCTCACCTGAAGAAGTCATGGGACAGTAAGGTGCAGAGCGCTGGCCGACGCTGTGGGATGGGGTTCAGCAGAGCTGAGTGCAAGGCCTGTCGGAAGCTGAGGAGAGTGTCTGCTGAAACGGAAATCCAGAGCGAGAGTTAGTTTCCAAGGCTTCTCCCTCCTCTCAGGGCCTCTCTAGCTGGAGACTGACAGGAGCAAGAACCAACCTGTAAAACCCGAACAAACAGAGCCCTGGCTGTTGCGAAACAGCTTCCAGCCCTTAAGCCGAACTCCCTGGCAGGTGTAGGGAATTGTCCTGCCACCCCCACCCACAGACGAGCCCACCCCCAGGTGCCTCCCCTCCTCATTCCTGATTGTCTGACTCAGCTCGGGCCTAAGGAGGTACTATGGGCAGGTGTGCAGGCCTTGTCAACTGGGGCGGCTCATCCACAGAACATGGAGTTACGTGAATGATGGTATTTTCAATCCTCCCACGGACGGCACATACTGTCACCATTTCTGACCGTGGAGGGCAGGATACACTCCCCACAGGGGTGCCTGCCAAGGCCTCAGGGTTTCGTTCTCGAGTACCGAGGCCGGGACAGTTTAGGGCTGACCGGATGGTGCCTGTAACTCCAGGTTGCGGCATCAGCCTGGCAGCAGAGGCTGGGTTAGGACTGCACGAAGCCTCAGCAGTGGGGTACAAGCCACTGGGGGGTCTAACGGGCAGACCCTGAAGGCCTGGAGTGGCTGCAGGGCAGGGACGCAGCTGCCGAGCCTGCCACGAGAGGACTCGGGAAAATGCTTGTTCAGTAGTCTGGGCTTTATCGGGCAACAAAGGGAAAAGGTCATGAGTAAGTTACAGCAAGATGAAAAAATTCAAAAGGATTCTGAAAGAATAAAGATAAAACATGTCGAGCCTGACTTAGAAAGAGATTCTGAACCGCACTCTGCTCATCTGATTGTTACAGATAACAGTCTGTAACCACCCACTGGCCGCTTCAAACTCTTCAAACCAGCAATCGCCAACCGGTGTGAAAGGTCAGACCATCACCACCGACACCAGTTAATAAGAGAGTAACGTGATCCTGACAGCTGGGGTTCAAGGTGCTTCCTACTGAGGTTCTTTTACTGTGTTCTTGTTGGGGCCGCTTCTCTCCTCTGCTGCTCAGATCTGCCCACAGGCCACTGGCAAGCACAGGGTCCTCAGTGCCATGGAGGCCTGAGCCCACGCAGAGCAGGCTGGGGGTGGTCCCACTTGTTCTGTGGCTGCAGCAGTTAAATACCAACTCACCCTGTCCCTTCATGTCCGTGAGCAGCCTTTCCACCAGCATCCCAAAGGCGTAGGCGTCCCGTGCGTGCCCGTGCAACTCTGGCAGAGTCGTGAATTCTGGAGCCTAGAAGCAGGGGAGGCCGTTAAAACCATTGCTCTCCCTGTTTTGCATTTACTACACTCAGAGCTAACCAGAGGCTGCCACACTCCAGTTTACAGGCTCTTAATGGCTGTGGCTTTCAAAATAGGTTTGACAGCAACCCAGAGTAAACAATACATATTATTATTCACTAGAGGCCCGATGCACGAAATTCGCGCAAGGAGCTCGGCCCTCGCAGCCATGGCCCTCGTAGCCCTGGCTTTGTCCGGAAGGTCGTTTGGCTATCCAGTCTAATTAGCATATTATGCTTTTATTATTATAGATTATTATCAGTATACACATACGTATAAATACGTAATGGAAATAAAAGTTTTATAAAACAGTACTAAACATTGCTACCTACCTAAGATGCCCAATGGTATTTTCTATCCCCCACCTTCCCCCGGCTAGTTAGAACCCTTAAATTGATTTAAAACCCACCTATCATCAGAAGAACACATAATACTGATTTGGATAAGCCCGATTTTTTTCAAGTCTTAGGTTTCTATTTAAGTTTGTTTTTCTAGTTGGGTTTGCATTTCCTATAAAGCACCTGCAGACGTGCTTTGGGGATCAATATTTGTTTACAGTGGTCATAAGAACAGTCTAGAGCAGCCGTGGGCAAACTACGGCCCTCGGGCGGGATCCGGCCCGTTTGAAATGAATAAAACTAAAAAAAAAAAAGACCGTACCCTTTTATGTAATGATGTTTACTTTGAATTTATATTAGTTCACACAAACACTCCATCCATGCTTTTGTTCCGGCCCTCCGGTCCAGTTTAAGAACCCATTGTGGCCCTCGAGTCAAAAAGTTTGCCCACCCCTGGTCTAGAGAGCAACTGCTTCGACTTCACAGGTAAGTATAGTTTTCTTTACCAGCACACAGATGCAATGATCACTCCTGTCTGCATCTCGGATTCCTAAGTGATGGCCAGACAGGCCAAGCTATCTTGTCCAAACTGAGGCCCCTTTTTTTTTTAAATTACAGTTTATATTCCACATTATTCTGTATTACTGTCAGGTGTACAGCACAATGGTTAGACAATCACATACTTCACGAAGTGATGCCTGATATTGCTAGTACCCGCCTGGTACATACATCGTTACCGCAGTACCACTGACTGTATCCCCTGCTGTACTTGACTTCCCGTGACTATTCTGCAACTACCAACGTGTACTTCTTCATCCCTTCACTGTTCTCACCGAGCCCCCACCTCTCCCCTCTGGCAACCTGCAACCGTCAGTCTGTTTTTTGTATCTATGAGTCTGTTTCTATTTTGTCTGTTTATTTTGTTCTTTGGATTTCACATATCAGTGAGGTCCCTCCATCTTTAAACAATGTCACCAGTGTCTGTAGGACCAAAATGTCAGCCGAGTGTCAAGAAAAGGCTGTCTGCTGTGATGAGATACCCTCAGAAGCCTTCGAGGCCACAGGAATTTCGGCCTCAGTAATTCAGCAAAGGAAGGGGTGGGCGGAGAAGGGCTGTTGTGAAGTGTCACACTCAGCTACACAAAGGGCATGTAGCATCTTACCGTCTCTTCAGGAGGGATACAAGCCGGGTCTCTCACTGACTGAATGCTCCGCAGAAACTAGATAGAAATAAAGTACAGAGAGGGATTCATGTGGATGTTTGGTGAACCAATATGACATCAAGCGACAAAAGCCACGAGCAATGGAAACAGTAGCCACGACACCGTCCAACACTGCCACCCATCAAATACACACATTCAACTTCCTAACTGAAAAAATGTCAGTTCCATCGTCCCCCTTCAGCTGGTCTAACAGACACCCTTGCCGTCCTACATGGAAACAAACCCAGAACCTTCTCCCTCCTGCACGGATATAAACCAGTGAGAGGCTCCCCAGCAGAGGGATCTGTCACCCATCTTCTCACTGCATCGAGTCAGTTGTAAGGTTCGCTGAGCTATAAAAGTTGAGGATCTTGCCTGGCCAGCGTGGCTCAGTGGCCGAGCATCGGCCTATGAACCAGGAGGTCAGTTTGATTCCTGGTCAGGGCACATGCCCAGGTTGCGGGCTCAACACCCAGTGTGGGGCTTGCAGTAGGCAACCAGTCAATGATTCTCTCTCATCATTGATGTTTCTATCTCTCCCTCCCTCTCCCCTCCTTTCTGAAATCAATAAAAATATATTTTAAAAAAAGTTGAGGATCTTATCAAGAGAAAACCAAAATCACAGAACAGTACATTCTTTCACTGACATAAAGATTATTTTTCAAGAGTTTGTAAGTCCCTCCCACCATTCAGGGCCCCAGGAATAGAAACTGAATGCAATCAGCTCGCTGCCCCCTGCAGGTGCGCTCATCCTAGAACGTGAACTAGTCTCAGTCACACATGCAGAGGGCACGAAGCACAGAGGGACTCATGTTGGGGAGGGACACTGGGGAGGGGTTCCCAGAGGGCACTGAGCTGTCTTACACAGTGGCGCCTCACATCTCCCAGAGAGCCCACGGCAAGGGGGTGCCCAGCAACAGCGCCATAGCCAGAGGGGAGGGCGCCCCACACTGGAGACCACTCAGGGTGGGACTCAGCAAGTGAGTGTGAGCCGCCAATGGAGCCCGAGGGCGGCTGGGGAAGTCTGGAATCTGTCCCCGAAGGCACTACATGCCGAGTACTAACGAGACATAAAGTGAGGTCTGGGAGGAAGTGATCAACGGGCAAGAATGATAATCAGAGGAGTGTCCTTGTGGTGAAATGGCACCTGAATGAGTGAGAGCCCACGAAGGTGCGGACTGGGTGAGGCCCCTGCGGACGCCGCACGGAGGAGACGGTGGGTAGAGGTGAGGGGGTGGCAAGGCTTCAGTGGGGATATTACGACAGGTGGGTTTTCTTTTCTCAGAAAGAGTGAGTCTCATGGCAACATGCAGCATGGTGAAAACAAGAAAGAAGACACAAAAGAGGTTTGGCAGCCTAGGAGGGACGTTGGAAAGAAGATCTGTGTTGGACAGAATTATATGACGCGCCACAGGCAGCCACAAGGCCGAGGGGGGCTGGAGGGAGGGGGTTTCTGATGCACAGGCCCTGATTCCAGCTCCTAGGACATAATGTGTGACTTGGGACAACCTCGATGATTGTGCCTCGAACAGGCTGTATGTAGTATGTGCCAGCACCATCCGGGAGGAGCTGTAAAGATAAGTGTAGACACTGTCACGCCGGCCAAGACAGACTCATGCGGGTCAGTTCAACGTTCAACATGACGTGGAATCATTAACTTCAGGAGCAGAGAGGAGGGACGTAAAACTGAAAATCTGACTAAGCCATTATACCTCTCAGCCTCAGGCTCCTCAGCTACAGAATGAGGAGAAAAGAATAAATGACGCCAGTGGCCTCGTAAGAATAAACTCCCACAATTCTAGGACACGAGCACTGACAAAAACGTCAAGTCTCCAAACCTAAGATCGCCCCACACTGAAGGAGGTCCCTGCGGAGACCACACAGACCGCTCTCCAAGCTGACACCCGCTGTCACCGCTTACCTCCGGGGTGGCCTGCGGGACTCGGCAGACTGTCTCCATCCCTCCCAGCTTCCAGTGCCCGTCTTCACTCACAAACACAGAGGACAGGCAGACGTTGTTATGCGTTAGGTGGCCCTGGAAAAGAGGAACAGGAAGAAGACTGCCACTCCAATTTCTAGAAATTTAAAAAAAAACTAAATACTAATCACCAAGAAAAAGGCCTGGCCAGTCTTCCTCTTGTGGCATACTTTGGGCATGAGGCCGAAGGAGCCTGTTCAGCACGGAAGTCAGGGGAAGGGAGACGCCAGGGAAGGGCTTCTGTTACCCCCTCCCCCCCAGCCTGGCAGGTTAATAAGACACCGAGGCCACTGCTCAGATACCACACCCCGTTCCCACGGCGTCAGGAGATGCACGTCCCTAAACCCGAATCCCTGTCTTCATATCCTGTGCGTTTGCCTCCGATGCCTTTAAACATCAAGTTTCTTGTCTCCCACAGGTTCCTGTTTTCATCTCTTAATTCTCTCTCGCCCACTTTCTATCAGGAACCCAGACCCATGTCACCTTAAGTCCTAGCCCAGTAAGCATGAAAAAATCCTGCCCAAAGAGGAGGAACGAGATACTCTGGATGACCAGAAACACCACAGAGCACAGCAGAGCCAGAGTCAACACTAGACAAGCAGGGCAGACAAACAGGTGAGAGGGAGGAAGAACCTGAGAACAGGGATGAAGTAAAGGTTTCTTTTCCAAACCAGAAATCATTCGTCACAAGTACATTTTAAATATTTTACCCAGTAGAGCAAATATGTACCTACTTCTATATAAAACACTCCAAGGTATATATATATTTTATTTTATTATTATTATTGAAAATATATTTTTATTGGTTTCAGAGAGGAAGGGAGAGGGAGAGATAGAAACATCAGTGATGAGAGAGAATCATTGATTGGCTGCCTCCTCCATGCCCCACTCTGGGGATGGAGCCTGCAACCTGGGCATGTGCCCTGACCGGGAATCAAACTGTGACCTCCTGGTTCATAGGTTGATCAATGCTCAACCACTGAGCCACACTGGCCAGGCGCAAGGTACATATATTTTAAAGGAAGATTTAGAATAGTGTGAATGGTATGTTTCCATTTGAGAAAAAATGAAGGAGAACCAGCACACAGAGGTTCACTTTACCCGTGCAGACTTCCCGGACTAAAGCCTGAGCGCCAAGGATGAAACAGGACATTGCATTTAAGGAGGGCGAGGGCTGACTTTACCTTACGCTCACTACACTAGTCAAACTCTTCACCATGTGCACACACTCCTCCATCAAAGGGCATATCCCTCCACAGCGAAGCATGAGTAATTCCTCTATGTGAACCTCAGACACACTTTTAAGAGAAGATAAACCCAAAGTGATATTTGAAGACTCAGTCTCCCATTAACAAGAAAAAACTTAAAAACAAACATTAAGGTGAGTTAAATGCAAGTGTTTCTAACCTGTGACTGGTGTTTTATCTTGGGGGCTGGTCCTACCATGTCAATGTGTAAACTCCACTAAGCAACAGTAACTCTAACCCGTCTAGACACGACCCAGCAGTGACCCAGGAATGGCCACTTTATTCCTGAACTGAAAACGTTGCCACGGAGTCTCTCACTGGTACAAGCTACTCGAATGGGAAGAGATGTGTAAAACTCTGCCTCTTTCTAAGAAATTATTGCTTATTATTTTTTTAAAACTCTTTATTGTTTACAGTATTATATAAGTCTCCTTTTTCCCCCATTGTACTCTCCTCGGCCACCCCCACCCCCCAGGACATGCCCTCACCCCCCTACTATTTGTGTCCATTGGTTATGCTCATATGCATGCATACAAGTCCTTTGGTTGATCTCTTACCTCCTCACCCCCTGCGTTCCCTCATAGGTTGAACAGTCTGTTCGATGCTTCTATGACTCTGGTTCTATTTTTGTTCATCAGTTTATGTTGTTGATTATATTCCACAAATGAGTGAGATCATGTGATATTTATCTTTCTCTAACTGGCTTATTTCGCTTAGCATAATGCTCTCCAGTTCCATCCATGCTTTTGCAAATGGTAAGAATTCCTTCTTTTTTAACAGCAGCATAGTATTCCATTGTGTAGATGTACCACAGTTTTCTAATCCACTCATCTGTTGATGGGCACTTAGGCTGTTTCCAAATCTTAGCTATTGTAAATTGTGCTGCTATGAACACTGGGGTACATATATCCTTTCTGATTGGTGTTTCTGTTTTCTTGGGATATATTCTTAGAAGTGGGATTGTTGGGTCAAATGGAAGTTTCATTTTTAATTTTTTGAGGAAATGCCATACTGTTTTCCACAGTGGCTGCACCAGTCTGCATTCCCACCAGCAGTGCACAAGTGTTCCTTTTTCTCTGCATCCTCTCCAGCACTTGTCGTTTGTTGATTTGTTGATGATAGTCATTCTGGCAGGTGTGAGATGGTACCTCATCGTTGTTTTGATTTACATCTCTTGGATGATTAGTGACTTTGAGCATGTTTTCATATGTCTCTTGGCTTTCTGAATGTCCTCTTTTGAAAAGTGTCTATTTAGATCCTTTGGGCATTTTTTGATTGGACTGTTTATCTTCCTTTTGTTAAGTTGTATGAGTTCTCTGTAAATGTTGGAGATTAAACCCTTATCAGTGATAACATTGGCAAATATGTTCTCCCATGCAGTGGGCTTTCCTGTTGTTTTGTTGATGGTTTCTTTTGCTGTGCAGAAGCTTTTTATTTTGATGTAGTCCCATTTCTTTATTTTCTCTTTAGTTTTCATTGCCCTAAAGCTGTATCAATAAAGATATTGCTACAACAAATGTCTGCTATTTTGCTGCCTATGGCTTCTTCTAGGATTTTTATGATTTCCCGTCTTAGGTTAAAGTCTTCCATTTGTTTATGTCTTCCGCTATCTCTTTTTTCAGCATCCTATAATTTTCTGAGTACAGGTCCTTTACCTTCTTGGTTAAATTTATTCCTAGGTATCTTACTTTTTTTTTTGCAATGGTAAACAGGATTTTTTTTTAGTTTCTCTTTCTGTGAGTTCATTATTGGTATATAAAAAGCCATAGATTTCTGGGTATTAATTTTGTATCATGCTACATTGCTGTATTCATTTATTATTTCTAGTAGTTTTTTGATGAAGTCCTTAGGGTTTTCTATGTACAATATCATATCATCTGCGAATGACAATTTTACTTCTTCTTTTCCAATTTGGATGCCTTTTATTTCTTCTTCTTGTCTGATCACTATGGCTAGCACCTCCAGTACTATGTTGAACATGAGTGGTGAAAGTGGGCATCCCTGTCTTGTTCCTGTTCTTAGGGGAAATAGTTTTTTTTTTTTGAAATAGTTTTAATTTTTGCCCATTGAGTATGATGTTGGCTGTAGGTTTGTCATATAAGGCTTTTATTATGTTGAGGTATGGTCCCTCTATTCCCACTTGGAAGTGTGCCTTCCTCTTGAATTTTTTGAAATAGTCCGAGAAGGATAGGTTTTATTTCTTCTTTGAATGTTTGATAAAACTCCGCTGTGAAGCTGTCTGGTCCAGGGCTTTTGTTTGTTGGAAGTTTTTTGATTACTGCTTCAATTTCCTCCATAGATATGAGCCTATTCAGATTTTTTGATTCCTCCTGGTTGAGTTTTAGAAGGTCGTTATTTTTCTAGGAATAAGGTCACATTTCTTCTAGGTTGACCAGATTGTTGGAATAGAATTGCTCATAGTATTTTTTTATGATTCTTCGTATTTCTGTGGGGTCGGCTGTTACTTCACCTCTTTCATTTCTGATTTTGTTTATTTGGGTCCTCTCTCTTTGTTTCTTGGTGAGCCTGGCTAGAGGTTCATCAATCTTGTTTATCCTTTCAAAGAACCAGCTCTTGGTTTCATTGACCTTTTGTATTGTTCTTTTGGTCTCTATGTTGTTTATTTCCACTCTGATCTTTATTATTTCCTTCCTTCTGCTCACTCTGGGCTTTTCTTGTTGCTCTCTTTATTACCATTTTTTTTATGGTTTTTTGAGGTAGGCTTGTAGAGCTATGAACTTACCTCTCAGGACTGTTTTCACTGTGTCCCATAGATTTTGGATTGTTGTGTTTTCAGGATGTTTTTAATTTCTTCTTTGATCTCTTTGGTAATCCAATCGTTGTTTAATAGCATGCTATTCAGCCTCGAAGTGTTTGAGAAATTATCATTTCTTTTCAAAATTGAAAATGGAATAAAACTGCTGAAAATGAAGAGGAACTTTGGTCCACAGGCCTGATGTTAAACTTTTGTTTTGATTTTATTAACAAATAACAGCTGCAGCCTTATTTATCTAAGTCTGTAGATAAAGACTTACCCAGAACTGGGGGAGACTAGTAAACTGAAATAGTCTGTCACTAACTGCTTAATTCCATGCAACAGGAACTTATTACTTCTATGTGCAGCATAATTTACCATTCACCCCCCAGCTGCTGTGTTCAGGCCACTCACTCTGTCATGAAGGAAGATCAGAGCCAGCAGGATGTCGTAGATCCCGGCACAGACCTCAGGGAAGGACAGTGTTTCTAAGGCCACTTCCAGAGGCTGCACTCGCTCAGTGACCAGATGAATGCCATCTGCCTCCACCGTGCAAGATAAGAATCTCAGCAAGCAGGGGTGCCGGAGTGTCTTCAGGTGCTTTAAAAGTACAAACAGAAGAGTCTGAGGTTAACGACTCAAACCCACATTCATACAGGACACAGGAAAGTTAGGAGACAGAAACTTGCATTCAAGCTCCTTTTCAGCTCCCTCCCTCCCCCCATATGTCAAATAAGGCAAAGGAGAACCTCGGACTTGCTGTGACTTTATCGACTTTACCAACATTTAAATAACACTTCAGGGACGTCTAGTGCTACTGTGCAGTGTGAGCCCGACAGCCCAGACCTCCTGAGAATTACTGCTCTGAACTGGAAAGTGCCCAAAGCAACCACCTGAGAGCTCTGACAAGTAAAGGGAAGCGTGCAGACTAGAGGGGAGTCAACTCTGGGGAGAAGACCCAAGGGGTGAGTTTCCTTCACTTTTGCCTCCAAAGAAAATTCTTCATTTTGCTTTTCTGTCTTAGGCTCTAATTATTTTCTGTTGGTTTTATGCACCATCTTTTATTCTTCTCGGGCTCCAGGCAGAACAGTATGCCAGAGGAATGCTACTTGGTTCAGTGCTGGCCTAGAAACACTGTCGATAAATGTTCACCTGGTTAATAAGTGAAAAAATAAATTTCATTTTTGTTTCTGTTTATTTTGAACCCTGCATGCCCACCAAAATTCTAGGTCCAAAGTGGCTCCTTGTTTTTTTACCGAAGGAAGAAAACGCTCATTGCCTGATCCTGAGCAAGAACCCTGTTTGGGGCACCCTGGCACAATTATGCATAAATTCTGCACACAGATTCATGGGAAAGGCTCACAGCACTCAAACAGGAACATTTGTTAATTCTAGCGTCTGCTCCAGAGAACAGAGGGAGCACAAGGTGCCCTTGCTGAATGTGACTCAGGCTCCTAACGGGCACCAACTGGAGAGAGAAACAGTGCTGGTCCTGGGGGAGGAAGGTGCCTGAGACTAATGACAGTGCCTTGCAAGCACTGGTCCCGAAGTTCCTGCTGTCCAGGTGCTGGGCTCTGAGTAAGGAAGGACTAGTGACTGGTCAGATGCATCCTTACCCGGGCTGAGTGAGATCCAGCCTTGACGAGAAACTGGGCCCATGTTTCAGGAATAAGTTATGACTCAGGTATACAGAGATTAACTCAAGCCTTTGGGCTTAACTTTTTATTACCCTTCTACCTCGGACTTACTTCACTTTAAATTACACAGAGCAGTAGTTCTTAACTACAGTGTGAGTTCACTTGCCGGTTTTAGACAGGGAGAAAGCCATCATTTCATCCTATTAAAGAAATATAACACCATAAACTAGAGAGCATGAAATTTCAGGGAGAAATATTCTTCCTAAGATGCAAATCTGAGACAGGATGATGAACATTGTCTTTAAAATGCCCGCTGCATTGCGATACCTCAGGAAAAGAGAAAATAGCAGTCCCTAAAACATTACTTCCAGGCCCGCGGTCACTGCACTACTGCAAGGCTGTCAATACTTAGAGCACCTGAGCTGAGCTAGGTGAACTCTCCACCTTACACCGTGAAGAGTTCATGAAGTCCCCTCCCAACCTTCTCACTACAAAGTACAATCTGATATGGGACGCCACCACACTGAGCTTTCTGGAACTTTTGACTATCGCTGTGGTCCTTGACCATGTTATGCAAGTTGGGGACAGTCCCATGAAGTAAGGACAGCTACGTTTTTAAAGGCCATGAATATGACCCACCTCCCTTGGCCTTTATTCATTTTATATTTTTCATAGAAAAAGTACTAACTATTGCCCGGCTGATGTGGCTCAGCGGTTGAGCATTGACCCAGGAACCAAGAGATTGCTGGTTCCATCCCTGATTAGGGCATATGCCTGGGTTGCGGGCTTGATCCCCAGTGGGGGCAGTACAGGAGGCAGCCAATTGATGACCTCCTCTCTCATCGATGTTTTTATCTATCCCTCTCCCTTTCTCTCTCTCTAAAAAAAGTACTAACTATTAAGAGACCACACTGCGTACCTTGGCAGCCTTGTTGACTTTGTCTTCGTTTTCTCTCTTGTACACAAACACCGACGCGACTCTGCCATCCTGCAGCTCGGCGGGGAACACGGCTAGTCCTGAGGGCAGTGTGACCGGGGGCCCCTTCAGCGCACAGCTCTTCAGAGCGCTGCTCTCCGCTCCCATCCCTGGGGCGGGGGGCCACGTGCAGCCCCTCCCCAAAGCCACGGACCTGAAAGGAAACAGAGAACAGGGTCAAACCTCAAGTCTCTGCAACATGAGCCAAGGATCCAGGCGCAGCCTTGCCAACCTGCCAGTTTCTACAATAACCTAGGCCACCTGACAGTGAAAAGGTAAAGGCTCGGCACGGTCCCAGCGATGCTGCCAGTGATCAGCTGACAGCTCTAAAAAGTGCATTTGAACTGAACAGTTCGTGAAGCAACTGCCGCCAACCCTCAGCACGCACACCTGACGTTCAGGGTGGGTGATGGGCAACCAAACACAGACTAGGGTCACTCACGTCCCTAACCCACTCCCACACCCGCCTCACAGGGGAAAGGGTTGCAAAACTGTAGTACTAAAACCTCTCTATATCTAAATAACTTGCAATTATAAAGGAAACAATACAAACTGGAGACTATTTCTAACAGTGATGAAAACACGTTAACAAATGGGGAGCTCATTTAGACCAAGTAAAACCCCAGGGGAGAACTGGGACAGGAAACAGACAGGGCACTGAATACAAACGACAACAAACAGAAGAAAAGGGCAGTCCCTCTGCTCTTCAGTGCTGTGCTGAGTAATAAGGGGAAAGTGCAAGCTTGTCATCTCAAATGCTAACCCCACCCCCATGCACACACACGAGATTCCAGAAAATGCAAACTACTCTTAATGACACAAACAGACCCGTGGTTCCCTGGTGTGGGGGCCCAGTCAGAGGGACCCGGAGGGGACGGGATGGCAAAGGGGTATAAGGAAACTTTGGGGGGAATGGATACATTACCTTGATTATAATGAACATGGTGATGGGCGACTACAAATGTCAAAACCTGTAAAATCGTACCCTTTAAATATGTCCAGTTTATTGTGTGTCAATTATACTTCAGTAAAGGTGATTTAAAAAGAAACTTATACTGTCTGCCTATCCCTATCTAATGTGCATACGAAAAACACGCTGAAGTGTGAACAGAGCTACGCCGAGGGTGTCAGATCACGGTGATGCACACGCACGCAGACATGCACAGTGGACCTGCCCGACCAGACCTGTCTTTACAACAGAGACACAGCTCACAAGGTCACACAGGTGATGCCCAGCAGTCCAGCAGCACAGGGTCTGTGGTGCGGGCACAGGACCTGCTGTGGGACAGCCCTGCGCCCTGAGTGCCAGCCAGGACTGAGGCCCAGAGTTGCCAGGTTGTGCCCTTGATCAGGAGGAGGCAAGAGCCAGCGTATTTATGGGGAAATGTCCCTGCTTTACAATGTTGGCTCAAAAAAATTTATTAATGCCTGTATAGGCCAGACAACATGTCTGAAAAATAAGTGGCAGACTTCAGTTCTGGCTTTACCATAATTTAAAAAATAAAGAGTTCTTACTAATTCTGGCAAACAGATAACATGGCCAAACACTCTATGTAGACCTTTAAATTTTTAGTTTAAAATCTGCCTCCTTTGGATAAATATAAACCAAATAATCATTACACACAGTCCCTCTTCTTGGTGAAGACCCACACGCCTTCTGTTATCGGAGTCATGCTACTCCAGACACATGTCTGAGACACACGTGCACCACTGTACAAGGAACACATGGACAAGGGCCAAGGCTAGCCAAAACGGAAGTCTTTCAAAATCCAGGGACCTTCTGGAGATAAAAAGGAAGCTAGGCCCTGGCCGGTGGCTCCGTTGATTGGAGCATTGTCCCATACACCAAAAGGTTGAGGTTCAATTCCCAGTCTGGGCACATATGGAAGGCAACCAATCAATGTTTCTCTCTCATATCGATATTTCTCCCTCTCTAAAATCAGTAAAAAAAAACATATTGGGTGAGAATTAAAAAAAAAAGATGGATATCAGCTTTGTAACAAATCCACTGAGTTCCTGCCCACCTAGCAATGCACCTTTCTTAAGAATAGGAGAGTTAAAAACACAAACTTAAAAGAACTACATGCAACATTCCCCTTTCTGTGGGGATGAGAAATGTGTATGTAGGATCATGGAGAAAAGCAACCATGTTAATTCTTATTCCAGAGAAGGTGCAGTGCCTGCCCAGCCGGTGACAAAACTCCCACACGGCTGAGTAGGGAGGGTCAAGGGTAGCACTTGGATCTTGCTCTCTTCTTCTTGGACAGTTAATGGGTCGCGTGTCTACTCAGCACGGAAGGGCCGTCTCTACACATCAGCCATCTCTGGGGCCCGTGGTCTGGTTGTCTTCCCAGGAATCTGAATGAACAAAAGGTGTTTTTGTCCATCAGCAGGTAAAAAGGGTGCCATGAGGTAGTCGGCTACGGCAAGCCAAAGCCATTGGAGGCAGACAGCTGCAGGCACAGAGGAAGCCTGGGGGCATCGGAGGGGAGCTTAGTGGCACTTACGGGCACGTTACTACCCCCAAACTTTACATCCATCCCCCGCCCCGCCTCAGGCAGGGAGCCTCAGGGTCTGTGTTCTTTGGAACCAGTTGCTGTTTCATAAGCAGAACTCCGCTCCTCTCTCTTCTCTAACAACTCCCGTCTGGTCTGCAAAACCAGTCGGACTAGAGCAATGAGTTCGAGAAGTGTTCCTCTGAAGTGTCTCCCTGAAGCTGGCCTAACTCCTTTAGCCACAAAGGCTTCCGAAAAATCAACAAGAAAATGAAAACCTGCCTCATGCTGTTTACTTAGTTTTCACATGAACCCCCACAGCAGATAAGAGGGCCACCAGGACCCAGGCCCTGCTCTGGCTGAGTGATTACTTAGTCATTTCCAAACAGCAGGTGCTTCCTTGTGGCAATACTGGGCCTTGCAACATCTATTCACCTTTGATTCAGTATCAGGAATTCTCCTATGAGATAATTAACAGTGTAGCGTCACAAACACTTTAGCAAGAGGTTAAAATTGGTGATTTTTCTTAGCAGTGAACATTTTAGGTCTCAGCCCTAGGAAATATCACTTAAAAACTAAAAGGGAATGACTCCCTTTCTTGAGAGAACGTAAGAGAAAGACGCCATTTCTGAAACACATGATTAATGCTGACGGAAGGGTTCTACCCTGTGTCCAGGGCAAACTTCATTAGGGGGAAATAAGAAGTGTTGTTGATGGCAATTTGAGAATGTCTTAAAGTCAGTAATTCTTAACTTCCACACAATTGTATCCTAAGACACTAAAGCTGTTGCTATCAGCAGCGCTTTAGAAACTGTAATTCTTAATTGGGTTCATATGGACGTACTGCAAGGTAAGACAGCTACACAGTAACACCTGGGTTTCTAAAATGTTCTTTCTTGTTCTGAGGTGTGAGGGGGGAAAGACAAACTCTTTTAGCTTTAAAATATGCCGCGGGAAGGCAGAGAAGGCCGCCCTGACCCTGTGCTATGCGTACTTTGCAGACTCTACCATCTCCTCCTCAACGACACGTTTCGGAGTTTTATCACGGAGGCTGTTTTCTGACCTGAAGATGCACCACGGTCTTGTCCTGAGAAACGCGTCAGCCCACCGTCCTCCACCCCTTGGCTTTCCTGGGCGGCACCCCAAGGTCCTGGGCCACCTGTGGATCCCAAAGCTCTGGTCTGGGTCACTGGGCAACTCCAACCAAGAGACCCGCATCCCCCGGGGAACAGCTCCCCCTGCGCTTCCCCCATCAGCCCGGACGTGCGGGCTCCCGGTCCCGGCCGGCGAGGGCCCGGGATAATGAACATAATGACCATAATGAACGGCCTGCGCGGTGAGCGCCAAGGTCAGCCGTCAGGGCCGGCGTTTTGCCATCTGGTGACAACGTGCCTTGGGGTCCTCTGAGCTGCTGTTTCAGGTGCATGTCCCCGCCTGGAGCTCGGGGTGACCTGCCAGGGGCCCCCGATACAAACGAAGCCTCGATGGACCCAGCACGGGGTCTGACTTCAGCCGAGAGAGGAGACGCGGCCGGGCTGCTCGCGGGTCCTAAGAACGGCGGTGCCAGGGATTCCGGAATTCGGGGCGACTCTGAAGGTGCACGTGGTTTCCTACAAACGTTTCATCTTTATTCTAAACACAGAGCACGACGCACAGACAGGCGGCACCGGGCCTCGGGGGCCAGAGTGGAGGCGGGGTCCCGGGCGGCCGCCCGCCCCATCCCGCCCGGGTCGGGGCCACGGGGTCCAGCCGCGGCCGCTCAGGGGCGCTCGGGGCAG